GAGACGAGACGAGACGAGACTTTCGAAAGTCTCGTCTCGTCTCGTTACCTCGAGACGAGACCAAGTCTGAGTCTCGTCTCGTCCTGGTTCAGTCTCGTCTCGTCTCGTCTAGTCTCGTTTGGTCTCGCCTGGTCTCGAGACACTATCCAAATATAGTGTATGTAGGTAGAGCAATGAGCATATAGCATATAAAAGACCACGAACTACGAAGGCATGACAAGTAAATAATAGGAGTAATATAGTAGGTACGAGAGCCGGACGCATGGAACCAGTAGTGATAAGCTAACAAGATGAAATCTTTGTTACTGGATTCCTTGCAACTTGAATAACACAAAATGAGTTTTCTGCCAGCCTTTTTCTGGCCGGAATGTTATTAAAAATAGGCACTTCCGGTGAATTTTTTTCCGCAAATTAAACCGAAAACCAAACCACCTGAAATTGATAACCGTAGGTTGAGGGCGATGGGTTTTAAGGAAAAATTCTTTTCTACCGAGTTTTGTCCAGCCGGAAATAGCGGCAGAAGCGGATTAATTGAACTGTTTTTTTGTGAATTGCTATACTCATAACACAACAACTGGAAAATTCACATGCATATAAATTGAAAGTCACCTTTTCAGGAAATGTTGGTCTGCCTGCAGTTTTCCGGCCGGAAGTTAATTCTGCCAGCCCCTTAAATATCGCCTTTCATAACCACGGGTTCTCTTTTTTAGAGGGTAAGTGAGCCTATGGACTAGACAAGCAGGCCTCAAGATGGCCTCCGTGTCCGTGGGCACAATTAAACAAGATATGTACGAAGAATCGCATACGATTTTCAGGGAATTTTTTGACAGCTCGTAATCGGAAACACGACTTCTAATCCGCAGTGATCCTTGAACTCGTAGAAATCGATTCGCAAAAGTTTATCTTTTTTTGTTCTCGATTTAGACTATTCTGCTAAAACAGTACAAATAAATACAAACAAATTCGAGACCAAACGAGAGTCTCGGCGAGACTCTCGACGAGACTCATGCTTAGTCTCGTCTCGTCGAGACGAGACGAGACGAGACTGAACCTCGGTCTTCGAGACGAGACGAGACGAGACGAGACTGAGTCTCGTCTCGGCGGCATCACTACTTGGATCGAGGCGAATTCATATCTCAAGTTAAATTTCATTCAAAATTCACTAGAATTTTCATTCTTCATTTCTTACAGGTAAACTTTGTATAATAGGAACTGGCGGATGCCTCATATTAATTTAGGCTGTCTCTCTTTAAGAGGGACACTGCTGCGGTTTATGCCGATAGGTGGCGAAGACTAGACTATCACCTAAATTAGCAATATTAATTTATATATTATGCAATTGCGCGCCTCTTTCGCCAATTGTATAAAGCAAAGGTATATCCCCTCAATTTGCGACGCACCCTTAATACTCGCTAAGTTGACAGTGACAGTTAATTGATGTCATTAAGATATGTCGGATAGCGTTTGGCGTTTGTCACAAGTCAGTCATAAACAACAAGTCAAATAACAAAATTAATCAATATGTGACGTCCCTCAATTCTAACGAAACGTAAAACAAATGACGTAACCGCTACTTCCGATTATAGAGACTTTACAATTTAATAGCCTATAAGAAAATCCATTTGCAGTAAGCACAAGTAGTTTTAATCCACAATTTAAGTGACCATGGAAGTATGTACTATAGATTGTGAGGCTCATTGAATAGTTTTATTCACGATGTTTTAAAAGAAAAATGGCTTCGTCAGGTTGCTGGCCATTTTCAAAAAATGTTAGTTGGATACATTTAAAGATCACAAGCACGTAAGGAAGTATATTTTTGGAATAACCATTACCAACTCCCCTATGTCCAACGGAATATGAAATAATAAATAAATAAATAAAAAAATAAATAACCTACTGTTTTTAATTTTTTATTTTTGGTATTTCTTCGGGGACTTGGCGCTAAAATTTTTATTCGGTTTTTGATTACGGTTCTGATGAATAAGAACCAATGGATCAGGTTACGGTTACGATCATTGAGAATATTGAGAAATTGATGACGGTCTAAAATATTATGTGGATTACACGGGATCGGATTACAGTCTATTTAAATCAACAAAAGTCTTGTGAGCACAAATTTTGTACCCGTGCAAATTTTTCGTATTGTTGATTGTTATGCAGAAGAATCTATTGAATATAAGGTGAAATTCGCACGAAAAGTTTTGCACGATGGAAATTCTTTTGCGGTTGCGGAGACATCACAATTTTCAGGTTCTAGTAAAAGTTCAGTTTCTAGTAATTTTAATGATAGTAATTCAAGTTTTAATTCTTTCCCAAAATTGCAAATCGTAGTGACCAAAAATTCAATTACATACAACTTTATTTGGAAAAAACCAAATTCCTTTCGTTTTTAATAATTATTCTCCAAATTGTTCTATAACATTCAACATGAAATAACTAAAATGTTTGCCCTCCATAACTCGCACTTAATTATATACCATTCTGTTCATATTTCGTTGTTGTTAATTGTGCATGTTTTTTGCAAATAAAGAGTTGTTATGGAATTACATTTAACGTAAGGATTGGAGTACGTGGGCCTGTCTTATCTTAAGATGTCAATAGCGCCAGATCGTGCTAATTACTAATGTTGGATACTGGGTCGTGTGCTTGTCCAAATATAACTTTTAATTTTCGCGTAGGTACTATTCGTTTATATGACATAAACGAATTGAGATACTCACGGAAATGTGTTAATTATACCTTCACACATCAAATTAAAATAGTAAATTCATGTAATAAATAAAGTTTATCATGAGCGATGGCAGATTATTAAAATGGAACAAAAGTCTCCCAAGGGAAATCATTAATAAACGTCTGTGTTAACTGTAACCTCAGATTTCAAATGGATGTTCGGTCAAAGGTGAGCTTCGAATCCATAACTAAAAAATAATGTCACGGAAAAATAGGAAGACGCCATGTCGTCTAACAATTTTAAGAAAACGTTTACTTTATAATCGACAAAAAAGAAATTGCCCCATAAATGTTTATCTATAATTATTCTGGTTGGTAAGTAAAATAAAAGAGACTTTACCTTTCGACGAAAGTTCACCATATATGTAATTTTGGATAGGGTTATTTGAAGAGCGTTTTCACTATTTACATACAAAACACCGCAGCCGGCATTAGAAAAAACAATGAAAAAATCAAATAACATTATTCTTTTACGCGAGACCGAAAAGTTAATTACGTTTAACACCTAAAATATTTAATATTTTGACAGATCTTGACTTGAGGTAATTAGTGCTACGCTAATATTCTCTTTGATGTAAATGTGTTGACGTTACTTTGTTAGAAACACACTATTAACTCTTAGGGGAAAACTTCCCTTGTAACCTTTACTTTTAAACAGCGGCGTGTACTAATTAAAGCGGTGTTCGTTTATAGTTACCATGCATACGCAATTATTTTATTGGAGATTAGAATTTGTGAGCAGTAAAGCTCTTGCAATTTCAGAATTCGTTGAGCTTGTAGTATTTGGGTTGGTTTATTTATAGATGATTGCGCTCTAATCTCTACAAGGGTTGGAAACACTGATAAAATGTGTAGGTAACCGAAAGTATATGATACAAGCATTTTTGCAATTTGTTTATACGTGGTTTCTTTTTATCCCTCTCCTCCATGACAAACTTGCTTGAATTTGGACAGACGATGACATTGACCTCCAGCTTTTTGATTGAGGAAGGTTTTAAACTGATCCTTAAAGATGAACTGCAACAAGCAATGAAATTGAAGTCATGGATCTCAAGGATCGTCGTGTAAAGGTCTACACTATTGGTATGTGTATGTTTTAATTTATATTCCCCGGAAAACGTAGGGGTGCCATAGATTTTCGACCATTTCTTCAAAAATTTAGATAAGACCATATGCGGGGTATAACAATAAGGCATTGGGACATTGGGCGATGTATAAGACCAAAACAAACATGTTTTCCTAAATAAAGTGGAGATCTAACGTGTTTACACGGGTCTCAAGCAAGGTCTCAAGGCATTCGAGAGTCTTTGCGATTCTTGGTTAAAATTTTATTTTTTTTGTATCAACCGTATAACAAATAGAAGAATGGTTTTTGAGCCACGCATTTTGTAACGGTTGAGCCCAGTTTGGATAAATTTTTTCTCGCATTTTCGTTGCAAAAGTGATTTTGGGTTTAAGGGTAGATCCGTTTTGATTTTCAATACTATCGGAAATTGTAGCGTATCGAAACTTAGCTAGTTCATTTATCCGATAAAAAGTCGGCTGTGGTGGAGTTGCACTAATAACAATTTAAACCGTTTTGTGTTGGAAACGAAATCTGCCTTTTCTTCAGTATTCGAGTTTCAATTACTATTTTGTTCTTTTAATTTGCCACCTGATGCCACTCACGAAATGATCTAAAAAGCTATCGTTATGGTTTCAGAAACCGTGAGTTACAGTAGTGCGATTACCATTAAGGGGCCCAGTGAAATTAGAGGCACTTCATCTTTCGTATTAAGAATATCCCAAATAAAATAATCAAATGAAATACTAAGCGCCATTTTCTACGAAGTCATTGGGCTTAGATCCAAATAATCATTATTCGAACCGCAACTTCTTAAAAGTGGGCAAGTACGCGAAATTGCGGGGTGTAATTCAATTTTCCCGAAATGCAAAGAATTCGCTAAAAAACGACGCTAATTTGGAGCATGTTGAGAGCACGCTAATTGTTTGACAATTTAAAAAGATAAATGCGTAGGAAAGGACAATTAATGAGGATTTGGCATCATTATCTCAAGAATGTCATATCTGCTTTTTTTCATCTAAAAAGGAACAAAAATAAATACAAAGGCACGTAATTATACAAGTATTTTTCAAGTAATTATTTCCAGATGCTTAACGCGCCCGCCTTGTGCTTAGTAGCGTTATATTATTTTTTGGGGGCGAAACTCGATACGACGACGACGACGACATTCCGTTTTCGTTTTAATAGTTAAATTTATTGGACTTACCTATGTTGGGAGTTTGCGTTAGCTGCCATGGGAGACCTGGCTGGATACCCTGAAGCTCTTGGACTGCCGCTGAGCACGTATTCTGAAACAACACGCTCCATACACAATGCAGTTCATCAAAGATAATCAAAACTAAAGACAAACATAACCGAAATTTAGTATGCTATCGGTATCATGTTAAAATACGGTTAACTCTGCAGGATATGTATTTAAGGGGATGTAATTTATTATGCACGGGGGTTAAAACAATTAAAACGTGTTTTTATTCACTTCAAACTGGTTCTAATGACATTCCTGATAAGAGAAAAAGTGGTAGGTGCACGGTCACGCCACAAGCATAATCACATACTACTTGATTTATAATAAACGAAAGGATAAGTGACGTACATAAAGACTTTGGCATCAATAAAACTTGTTGCTAAATATAACCGACGCGTTCCGTACAAAATTAGTTTTTAAATGGCATTATCTGCCTTATCTGTCATTCATTTGACGATGTTTGTGATAAAACTTCGTTTAAATTATAATCCAAAGTCATATGAAAAATTAATGATAAAATAGTGGAACATGGGATTAAAGTATTCATCTGTCGCCATGAATTCCAACGAAAGGACAGTTGCAAATGATGTTACAATTGTTTGCAAGGAAATTGGTGCGTAGGAGTCACAAGGAACAGAAAAAACGGTGTCATCTTTATCATAAAGGGCTTCTTTCGGAGTAACTGTGAGGGTTTGACACCCACCCAGTTCTTGTTCTAGTCCTTCCATATGTGACCATCTTTGATAACGATTCTGGAAAGAAAAAGGTAACCAAAAGGATACAAGGTAATCTTAGTCCTACGACCGCCAAATATAGTGTTCCCACGAATAAATTTTCATAGTATTTGAAGAGTTTAACTGAGGTGAGTGGTGACCGGTATTTGGAAACTAATTGTTTACGAGCAAGTAACATTTCTCACAAATATTGAACTTAAACCGGACGGACGGTATAGACTGTTTTATAATTTTGGCTATATATTTCGTGATCTATACAATTTTGCACAGGATAAGAGGTCTGATTGGGAATTTTTCAATCATTGTAGTTAAATTTTACTGTACCCGGTAGATAATTGTTTTGTGAGAGGGTACAAGCAATTCCAGAATCAAAAAATTGCAAATTGAGGTTCCCGTTCACACTTTACCTTGTCTTCACACTTTACCTTGTCTTCACACTTTACGCGTAGAGCAAAGGCTATGGGTTAGTTTTTAAAAGAAAGTTTATTTTTTCAATAGTCATACAGGCCTAGAAATAAGCTGTATTATTTTTTGTTGACTTCGGCATTCATTGTTGTAAATGAATCAATAAAACGGGAGTATCAAAGCACTCGAGGGAACAAGTAAATGAAACACATAAAAAGGTTTTCGCCCTAAGGCGAGTAACTTTTGTGCATTTTCCAAACATTGATTAGTACTTCCCAAAACAGGCTATTTATGTGTACAAAGGGAAATAAGTTAAAACAATTTTATGGTTAAAGCGTAAGTATTTATTTTAAGATCCAATTTTTTGTAATTCAAATAATCAATGGTTCAGACAAATATCTTCAAAAATAAGGAAGTTGCCACTATGCGCACATCCCTCTTTCATGGCTAATGAAAGGTCTCAACGAAAGGAATTAAGCTCTACTAACCATGGCCTCCTCCTCGACTCCTTATCGTGATGGAATATAAATAATTCCTTATATCTCAAGAATAGATTATCGGAGGATGGTACTCACCAAGGGCGATCGGGACGTCTTGAAGAAATAAATCCCCTTAATCATCGAAGAAGAAAGAAAACATCGAAACTATAGCATGCTACTACCCTATAACGCAACCATAATAATAAACTAATAAATAAACTATTTCGGTTTTAAAAAATGGGCTTTATCTGCACAAGAGTTGTGCCCAATTTATACGAGTTCATAATACGTACGTAAAATCTAGGAAATTCCACTTCAAATCACAAAATGTTTGTACCAATTCTCAGAATTCAATACATTGCATTGAAATGAACGCCCCTGGATCGTTTCAGTGAAATATAGTGGTAAATTTCAGTTAAATTGGAAATTATTTTAGCAAAAACTGGTTGCATCATTTTTTTTAATAGTACGGCTGAAACGTTTACACACCTGCATTGTTTAATGGTCAGTAATCCGCCTACAGAACATACCGTGTAACTCTTGATTAAGACGGCCATTTACTAAAAAAACGCGTTATTCAGACATCGTTAACAGTCAACCGCCTGGATTTCTTGTTACTCTTGGATGCAAGAGGGATACACTTTCCGGAAATATACTATCAGTATCAATTTAAAATTCACAGTGTAAAAAAGATAATAATCAAACAGAATGGGAAGGTGCACGATGGCTGCAAACCACCTCCGTAAAAGAATCAATCATTAAAAACTAAAGTATACGTACAGTTTTCCGACCCTTAGGTATAGTATCGATACAGCCATTATATATACCGAAAATTCTAAATTACTATTATAAAAAACTTAATTTACTTCAAATTGCTTTTCCATTCCTTTTTCCGTGGAATAACAAAATGTGACTAAAAGTAATTTGAAATATTATACGCGCCCTGGGAAATATGAGTAAAAGTGTAAGTCTTTATTTTTCATGTATTTTCTTATTTCCGTATTTAAAGACAAGCAAATATCTTCCTTGGCGGTACGCATTTGGTGGAAACGAGGCGCGTTGATTCATTAAAAAAAATATACCTACCTTACTGTTCGAAAATAATGCATAACTGCCTCGCGGTGGAAGGTGACTTCTGATCTGTGGTTGTGGTAGAGATGCTATACTTGCGATTAACCACAGTGCGTTCAACAGAAGACAGTACACTGTTGGGTGCTTACAATAAAAGATAGGTTTTTGTTGCTTCGGAAAAGCATTCTTGTTTAGTGTTTTACTTCAGTAGTTTGATCAGATGTTAATATCTCCAAATTTCACTCATAATTAGAAAGTTAAATAAGTTCAGGTGGTCCAACCGAATCTGCTCCAAAGTTAATATATTCTAAGATATGTGAATATGAATATAATACGAAGGGTGGTCGAATTTACGTTATTAGCGTAAAAACTTAATGGAATTGCACATAGGCTAAAGAAATAGTGCAAGTAACCTTCACGTAGCAAAGGTATAGTAAATATTATGACAAGGAAAATTCGAACGATATTTGCAGAGGAAATTAACAAGAGATGCGTCTCGTTATCGCATCACTAGGTTTATGGTGGTTTATGCAAAGTGCGGGTTGCATATTCAGCATCTGTTTAGTTTTCTTGTGTTGAATATGTATTTCAGAATTTTAGATAAGGTAATAAGCTTCTATGACCAAGCTGGGGAGATGTCGAGCGTAAAATATTTCTTCTCTTTGATGATGGCTCAAAATGAAATTATTTACAATAAAAGGTATCTTTTGAAAATAAATTTAATGATCTTTTAAATTATACATCATATAGCAGACCGATATACGAAACTTTCTTATATCTGTTTAGAGAAATTTAACTAACCGAAAGTAAATGTTCTCATTGACAACTAGAATGTATGTTAAATATTTACTGTAGTGCATTGAAATGATTCTATTTTAAGTAGTGTACAATTATCCTCCGGAATATTCGCCCCACGGTAAATTCGACTCCAGGAGATTCGCCCCCAGAATATTTGCCGCGGAGAATTTGCCTCCGGAAAAGTCGCCGTCGAAAAAGTCCCCTGCAGAAGATTCGCCCATAAAAATTCGCCCCCGAAAGATGTACCTACCACCAGAATAATCGTCCCGGAAAATTCGCTTCCAGATGTATTCGCAGTCGAAATATTTACCCTCAAAGTATTCGCACATCCTCGCCAGAACTTGCTCAAATTTAAAATTCACATTCAGGAAAGTACCTATAACCCCGAAGAATTCAACTCAAGAACCTTTTCTTTCGCACAACTGCTATGTGTCAAATTGATAAGATCAGTCTCTAAATGAGACGCACAACCAAAAGCAATTAGTGCAAATCCACCTCTATGCCAAAGTTATCCCTCAAGAATATTCACCAAAGACAGACAATTCGATCCAAACAGAAAATGCCATTTTGGTAAATTCCTTAAAACAGCCCAATGGCACTGTCAAATTTAATAAGGATTTAGAGTTATCCATTGTTTAATATCGATTGCACTTATTGTCTCAAAAATTGGCAATTATCGCAATTCGCAGTTGAGTCTATACTTAGGGTGAAAATAGGAAACAGAAAATGTTTTGTCTCTTTCCTTTTTGATACTGATCGCTCTGGTAATTCACGTTGAAAAACTCTCGAAGGTTGCCTTATAGAACATTCGTCACTTGCAAGACCGCCCGCGTATACAATTTACCCTCTGCAAAATCTGGTCTTAAAAAATTTACCCCTAAACTACTAAATATGTAGATTGGATACCTACAGGATAGGCATCCAACTTTCTAGAAAATCTCTTGCAATTCCACTTGTTCGTAGAGCTTTATTTCACAATTAATGCTATACACGATACACCATATACAGGGTGGTTTGGGGAAAAAATGGAAATATTTTAAAGACATGTCCAGACAGCTAAGATAAGCAAAATAAGCTCATTTGTTCAAATCCGATTTTCATTTGTTTAAGAGATCATTCGATTTTTCTTTAAAAAACTGGCTACCAGGTCCATTGATAAAAGCGCAAACAAATGTTTTGAAATGGGTGGTGGAGTTTTCGAAAATTTAACATGAATGGATGCTACTGATTTTTTTGCTCAAAAATACATTTTTCTTTAATTTTATAAATTACTATTGTTCAAAATATCTCTGAAATAAATAAAAATTGGACTTAATAATAATAATGGGACTTCATTGGACACAAAACTTTATCATATGAGCTTATTTTGCTTATTTTTGCTTCCTGAACATGTCTAAAATATTTCTATTTCCTCCCGAGTCACCCTCTATATACAGAACACCCAAGGATGCTATTCTTAGATATTCTGTATACATATGGTTTTTTTGGCGACCTTCATAGGCATACTTACATAGAGCTAAAGTTAGTAAATTTGATTTAGAATCTTAAACCACTTT